CCTAGCCAATCATTTTTAGCTGATAATTGACAGTTTCCTTTAACTCTTAACTACCAAGTATACAGTCGCAAGCCTTCATTAATTACTTATTTTTGAATTTCGCGCAAAGCTACACGAGGAATATCTGCGCTAGCCGTTCCTAATTTAGCAATGTAAGACTAGAGGGAAGGCAACTAGTCATCACCACCCACCGCCAACTCTTTTACCAACGAATAATGGGATTGACCGTCACATTATAACGCCCCCACGGCTGAAATAGCGAGCATGTTTGGTGGGGCGGGGATTCGAACCCGCGACCCTCAGATTGCGAATCGAGCGCCCTAAACCCTAACCACCTGGCAATGACGGGCCTCCTTCATTCATATAAATTACCTGTCATAATTGGTCAGTGTTCGACAAGTTCAAACATTTGACCTGTAGCTAACCTTTCCTACCGGTCATTGTTACATTTCTTGATCTTTTTTTTTTTGTTGTTATGGGAAATTTTGAATTATTTATCTTTATTTACAAATTAAATTATAAAATACACTTCGAACCATTAGTTTAGAGTCACCCCCTAAACTTCATCATATTTTTTTTAAAACTATCATTGTGTGTTTTTGTGTTTTTTACAAATACTGTTTGTTTGTAATTAAGCACAAAGCTACACAATGGGATATCTGTGCTGTGCCCGCCACGGTATCGAAACCAAGATTTAGCGTTATAAGTCTGCAGACATACCGCTGTGCCACTGGGGGAGGGGCTACAAACACTGAACGAAGGGAATCAATTTAATTTTGTTTGTAATGGCTAGTCCTTTCGCGAGACCACAAACTACGTATTAAAGGTACTATGAGCCGCGCTCGTTAATCCATATTGGTGGTCGTGGTTGCTGGTTACTAACTATCTTACGTCTATCTGTTAGTTAAAAATTAAGTTAGACCTTTTTCTTTTTAACATGGTTCAAACACTTTTTGGGGTTGATAAAATTCTGGAGCCAGTAAGCAGTTTTCAAGGACTTTTTAAGGTCATCGTAAATTAAACACTTCATTCATAAGTCAAGCCTTTTTTCTTCTTTGTAGTTAGTCTGTTGTTAAGCCAATTAAAAGAAAAATATGGCAACATGTAGTTGAATTCTTTATTGAAACTTCTAAATAATTATTTTATTTCGACAATCCAGCATATCTTCCAAAAAAATTAATTTTCGTTTTGGACTACCTTAATCAAATAGTTGGATTAGGCTCACTCTTATAACGCACCCAAAGTATGACGCGTGATTTTGCAGCAACGGGACACGAGCCATGGATCCTCGGATTCACATTCTGGTTCACTAACCACTTGGACTTATTCGTTTATAACAAAGCTTCTAAGGCTATTTACCGCCATCCTAATTGTGATTTATTTAATGCAAAGCGCTATTCGTCCCTAATTTAGCAGCAATATACTAGAGGGAATAGGACTAGTAACCGCCAACTTTTGATCTACGAATAGTGTGATTGACCGTGGCGTTAAAACTCTCCCATAGCCGAAAAGTCGAGCAGGTTAAGCGCCCCAGTAACGGAGGTGAACGCGTGGCTTACGAATATTTGGCAGAACGAATCAGTATTTCTTCTTTCTGTTACAAGTTTTTAAGAGGTTCCCATCTCAACCCTTTCTCTGTTGTAGGCCATTTAATGGTTTTTACGGATACGCTTATTTGACTACTTACTCAAGCAGATATGAGTGAAGCATATCCTTATGGTCAGGGGCATCGAGGGCCACCTAGCCCCCCGGGAGATCAGTAATATCATGCCCCCCCTTCATTCTATTTATTAACTTTTGCCGATTTTTCATAAAATAAATTTAGTTGACAAATTTCTTCATGAATCTACGAAAAAGCGGTAGCCATTTTGGCTCATTAAGTAGTATGCATTTCTAGTGAGCTTTGGAATATCCCACTGCCGGGCCCCGGGGCAGCTCCCCCCCCCCTCTCGTCAGCCCAGTCTTCTGGTATTATTGAGAAAGTTTTTAGCATCGTATATGACTCTCAAACGTGTCCTATTGCCACGTTCACGAGCACCGACTACATACCAAACAACAACAGCTGTGTATCACATATGATACTAGGGCGATTGAGCATTATGTCCTGCGAATCAGAAGTAGGGTTAACAAACGAATCATAAATTCACATGCAGTCTTGTTTAAACAATATACCTGGACATTTTATTCATTTGTAGGGTAATGGTGGATATATACGTAATTCGCAGTTAACAACTAGTCTGAAAATTACAGACTTGTACTTAATTAGCCGATATTTGTAATATATTAGTAGTTTTAAAAACACGCTGTATTCGAAATATATGCCATCACCGTTTTACATCCTACTCATATTTCTGAGCTACTAATCCAAGTTAAAGAAAAATACTGGTATTCACCACTGTGATTTATATTACGTTGTCTCGTGTTGGACACGTTTATTTGAAATGCTCGTTATTTTAACATTTAAACAGTACTTTACATGAGCGTAAAGACACTTGGTTTAATGGTTCCAATTCAGTTTAGTTGTTAAAAACGTTGAATCACGACACTTCAAAATTTATAACTTTTTATTTTCATGGCTAACACGTTTTGACAAATTAAACAGAAAATAGAATTCATATAGTTGTAAAAACACTCAGAATTACAGTAAACAATTTATTTCACACTGCAAAGAATTTTCGTTTTACTCTGTGACACAGATCGGTTAACTTCACACAATCTTATGTCGATGACTAATAAATTACATTCAATCTTACCTTAGGTTAGTGAAAATGTTCAGCTTTATAGCTATAATAAGAGGGTATGAATTTTACCACATGTCTAATAAAATACGAAAACCATCAAAACTTATTCATATTATCCCAGCGCTAGAGGAGTTCGGCACCGGGTCAAAAGTCAAAGAACAGGTTATCTTCCCTCCACTCGCAGAATCCCATCCATTTGTAAAGTGCACAGTCCAGGTAGTGTTGTGACGTCACTGATTCAGAACTACCGAAAATAGGGAGCACCAACTTTTTTTTTTTTAAAGAAGGCATGATCTAGATTAATTTATAATAATATCATAAATTTATTTAGTTCAATGTTTGCCAAAGTGGGAGCCGTGGCCCCCCAAGGGGCTGTGAAGCTTTTTCTGGGGGGCCGCCAAAAAACGGGCCGAAAACAAAGATGCTGAATTAACTAACTCTAAATAAACAATAAGCCAATAAAAATTATGTTGAATTAATTAAATGATACATTATGTTAAAAGGAGATGTTATTGTTTTTTACTACAACACTATTTTTCAATCACCATGCTAAAGTTATAGGTTGGGGGGCCTCAAAACATTTTATTCACATCAAGGGAGCCTCAGACTAAAAGAGTTTGGAAACCACTGATCTAGATCATTCTTTCTTTGAATATCTCCAGTTTTAAGAACATGGGATATATAAATATATATACCAGGTCATGCAATGAAGCACTTGAAACTTAAACTTTAGTCTATTTGATATATTGTTTCCATATATAAATCTATGTGGGGGGTCAAATTAAACACGCCACGACCTTTTGCAAAGTGACATTCAACATGCAGTTACGTATTTCATGTCAGAGTAATCAACTATTCATTTTACCTTACAATCCTGATTTGTCAACAGTTCATGGTAGAGGGTTACTGAAAGATACTGTAGATGTGTATTTAGGAGGTCCTAGAAGTAATGAAAATTTAACAAACTGTTGGATAGAACATCACCTTGCACTCTGACTTGTCAGACTGACGTTGGCCATTTACAGACGTGTACCGGGTACAAATACGTTTGTAACACACCCGTAAATCTGACTAAAAGCTTGCCACATTTCACGTAACTACATGTAGTAAATTAAGAAATACAGCCGACATTCTTTCTCCAATAAGAAGTTGGTCCATTAGAGCGACTAGTGCGCATTTGTTTAACACAGAAGCAGAGAAACTCACCAACCTTTCAACAAGAGCATTGAAAAAAACAGTGTCTCAAATTACATCCATGCTAAATGATACTAACTGTCTGAACCAAGTATAAAGGCAACATTCACCAAGTCTTAGTTATGGTGACACTGAGAGATCATACATTCTCAATGAACACAACAAGAAGTAATATTACAAGTCCAGATATTATAATAGGTATTTTGAGAAAAAGAAAAAAAATTATATACAAAATTTAGTACATCATGAGAGGAAATAGTTCACATAAAGAAGTTCTAATATCTCAGTTCCAGAAGTGGTTTCTCTTTACATACGAGTAAAGAACATATGTTTCATTACACATTACTCTCTTTCCAATAACAACTTCTAGAGAAATACTTTGTACTACATAGAATTATGTGTATGTACAATTATAGATGTATATAATATATATATATATTACACATAAGTACAATTAAAAGCCATCACTAGTCTTTCTGAATTATCTTGAAAAAAAAAGTAGCTATATAAAGTGAAAAACAAGATACTCTAATGGCTCTGAAGAAATAAATTCTCAGTTCAATTAGCTAGTGAAAAGTAGAGAAAATCTGGAAACATTCCAGATTTCTAAGTGTGAACTGTTAACCTGCTGAACCTTTTGTATATTGTAACCCCAAGCATCACAAAGAGCAAGAAAAATAGAGCGGAGCCAGCAAGAGTTATTTCTACTGAAGTATTCAGGGAGCTGTATTTTGTGACACGCTCTTCTCTATGTTTCAGCATCTTCCACAAAATTACAGACATCTGTGATATAAATGTAGGAACATAAGAACAACCAAAATAGCTCAGAACAAAAGTGGCAATGCTTACTATGTTTAAAAACACAAGAATAACAATAGTGGGCATCGAGAGACAAAGAGATTGCCACAGATTTCGGAGAGAGAATCCACAAAGAAATAGCACAAAGGACTGCTTCAGTGTTGGTAGTTTCCGTCGATGGTAATTAGGTGTCCATGGCAAAGGTGTGACTTGCGAGCTAATACGAGCCTCAGAATGCAAGCATGATTGATAATAAATTGGGAATTGAGATCTCACTTTCTCACCACATTCTGTAATAAGAAATTCAGAAACAAATGAATTATTCCAGAAATAAAATCATATACATATATACACACACTACACTGTAAACAACAAATCTCCAATTTAACTAAACTGCTATAAAATAAATTACACAAATCCCTAACAGTTTAGTGTGACATTTAAATTTGACGTGAACTCAATACGAGTATGTTACTATGTCTAAACAAATTATTTACGGTGCCTCTATAAGTAATGATACTATTCTCTAGAGATTTTAACTTTAGTGCCTCTGTACTTGAATGTTTCATTCAATGTTAGATAATGATATAAGAGGAAATAAGACTGTTTTACATCAACAAATATAAAACATAATTTTTACAAACTTATAAACTATGCAAATTTCTTCAATTTATTTAGACAGAGAATGAAGAATTGAATTAAATATAACTTAATTCTCAAAAGTTACAACAAACAGTTATTTTATAAAAGCACATGTAATAGACTACTGTTCATATTCCCCAATATTTCATGCTACAATAATTTCAAGATGTTTGAACAACTGGTGACCAGAACTGAATCTGTGATAATTATCATTAAAAAAAATTGCTCAAACAAAATTATGTAGTAAACTTACGAGGCAAATGCCTACTGTAATTATAAGTACTACAGAAACTCAGAATCATAAGGTTGTTTTGTTTTTTTTTCATAATGAGGGAATGTTTGTAACGTTCACAAACTAATAAAAGTACACTTCTGCTGTAACTGAGCTTTTCCAGTCTCTACACTTACACAATCATTGTGGTTGGTAACCTACATCTACTTACAAATTAATCACTATTTTATTATTCTATACCTTATGTTTTGACTGCTAATCTGCTGCCCGATTAGTAAGAAAAAAAAACAAACCCCTGAGAAGAACTGTATGTGATGGCAGGAGCCAGAATTTGAACCTGGGTTTTCTAGTTAGAAAGGCATGTATGCTATCCACTCAGAGTTTTCACCCCATTTTGACACAATTCAACAAACTATACATGTCTGATAAGAGGGTTTGGGGTTAAATCCTGGCTCGTACCACCATATTCCTTGTCAGATCTCTCCTGAAACCAGTAGGAACATAAGTATAATCGAATTGGTAAGCATTATCTAATTGTCATAAAAATAACAAAAATAAAATAATTAGACTTAGAAGACCAGCTAAGAAAGTTCCTAACAATTTATGTCCCATTGCCAAAACTTTACCATAAATACATGTACAATATACACTTTTCCATGATACATCAGCAACTCATTATAGAAAACTGATTTTCTGATGCACTCTTGTGCTAAAACTGTTCATAAACGAATATTTCCTTAATACCTTTCCATACATAACAAACCAATTTCAGAATATAAGACATGAATTATTCACATTTTCTCTTTTTGGCACCCCCTGATAATATTAATGACACATTCATACACTGAGAAGACAGCATTTGGAAAAGTATGTTTTGTATAATGTTTAACACTTTGGCACTAGGACAGCAGGAGATTTACAGGAACAAAGAAAAAAAAAAGATCTCTTCGTTAAGTTTACAATAACAACTACTTCAGTTCTTTTTTTTAATCAACTCAAAATGTCAGAAATAACAACACTTCAGTTCGTTTTTTAATCAACTCAAAATGTCAAAAATAAGCAAATAAAATTCATATATAACAGCAGTAACAGTTTCTAATGAATGACATGAAAGTATGGTTATGTACAAAGCATTTACTTGATTACCTACCTTTGTTAACTTCACAATAACCAATTTGCTGACGACACATAGGGCAATAAGTTTTGGTGGGATTAGGCTTAGCTATTCTTCTCAGACAAACTTCACAGAACACGTGACCACATGGTTGACAGGTAAAAGGACTTATAAAAAGGTCTAAACATACTGGACAAGCAAGTGAAACAGTTATGCTTGGGTCTGCACTGGAAACCACTTTTTCAGGACTCTTCTCTGCAGATGAAGTTACCTCCATCACTTTCTGAAATAATGTTTAGGTTTCAACAATTTTGTTTTTATACCCTATCATACAAAATATGTTTTTATAAATGTGGTGGTACTGCAAGAATAAAATACTTGCACAGTAATTATGAATAGCTTTATAATTAATACAACACTTTGGCCTACACTTACTGATAATGGATATCACAAGCTTTAAACTGTTAATAATACTATCACTTGAAGTTATAAATGCTGACTAAGAATTAATAATTAGATATGATCTGTATGTAACCATCTCGGTGGTTTCTCTCACTGTGTGTGTGTGTGTGTAAGAGATGAATGTCTAAATACGATTGGTCAATGTATATATATATATATTTTTTTTTATATACACCTGCTCAAAACTATTGATTGAAAAGAAATTATAATTTAAAAAATATTAAAAGCTTACTTGGAATGGGAAACCAGAAAATATTGTATCAAATCCCATTACTAAATATATCTTAATTTTAAAACTGATAAGGTAAAAAAAAAAATTAAAACAAAATCATAAAGCACAGCTTTAATGCATAGAAATAAATGGATGCCAAAGCAAAAGTATTTGCTAGATCAAATAAATCAGTAGATTCAAGGCTACAAGTACAAAACAGCCTACATTACAAGAGCTTAATGGCATTTTGTTCAGGATTTACTAAACGAGAAAGAGTACAGATATTATATGAAGCATACATCATTGTAGTTGGTGCCATCTCTTGACAGCATTCAACATAAAATTATTTCTCGATATATAGTAAACCTAAGGCCTCGACAAACGTCTAAATTAAGCTAAAACTTCATTTCACTTATCACAAAAAATTACCACATGTGTATGCTTGCATTTCAAGGTATCACGACATTCTGCTGCCAGCAAATAATTATGTTATCAAAACAAAACATTTCCTAGCACAGTGAATGACTTTATTCTCAAAAATTACAGTGAACTAAAAAACTATCACACTAAACTTGATTAAAAATAAAATTGAATAATATAGTCATTGAGCAAGTTGCTGGGAAAAACAGAATAATAGAGTAATTGAATAATTTGCTGGGAAAAAAAAATGCTATCACTATATAGCAAATATATACACTATTACTTATGTTTGCATGGGTACAAATTTTATGATGTAATTCTCGCGTTCAAGGTTTTTTAACACAATAATGGTTGCTTATATAATATTCCAATAATATTTATTTTCTATACATGCAGAAAAACCTTAAAATGAAATAATTAATTGCTACATCCTTTTGCCTCATCAGCAGTCATTTACTATGGCATTCAAATTTCGTAGAACCCATTTCAAGCACCACCCCTCCCACACACACAGTAAAGGCTTTTAAAATCCACTTGGTTAAAGTTCAAAAACATGTAATACTTCAGATTTACAGACTTATACAAAACTTTAATAAAGTGTCACGTTATCACACTTGAAAAATTATAATACACTGGTTACCCTTTATAGAACTTGAAAAAAAAGATGGTAAAGTACAGCTGAATTAATCTTTCTTCCATAAAACCTAATTCACAGTTTAAAATACTGTTAATATATAGCTTTTACCAGCATGAATACTTAAAATAGAAATGAATTTATTCCATAATAAGTGGACAAAATAATGCTCAGCTATAAAATAACTCAAATCTAAACAGTTTCAGTTTTTTAACACTGTTCTGAATCCTTCAAGGTTTAATAATACCAAATAAAATCATACAAAATGTAAATTTATTACACTGTTTTCCTGAAAGTACATATATAACATTTTCTTTTGAAAACCATATTTAATCCCCCACCCACAACTTCCTAAAATATAATCTATTAGTGGACTGGGTGATCTGACTATCCTACTGACTGAGGCCTAATGTTTGCTAAAACTAGCATTAGTACAAAATGAGCTAAACTGTGGATACCTTTGAACTTACAATATAATTCACAGAGAAGATAAAATATTTTCACATTACTGTAACTACTGGTTTATTCTATTTATGACTGGCAAAGGTACACTGCTGGGCTTCCAAAGTGATTTATAAATGTGGGCATGGACCACCCCTTCCACTATTTTGAGCTGTACCACACAAACTGTCTGTCTAATGCAAAGCATTAAACACCACTTTTGTTTTGGTGTTGGTTTCACATATTGTGCTACTGACCTCCTCACAGAGGTGACCATTACTTATAGCATTAGGGTTGTAAAATTAAAATGGCTACCCAAATCATACCATTCATCTAACTGCTTATTCATTTCAATTTGATCTTTAGGAGTTCCATCAGAGTTCTTCTACCAAATTTCAACAAAATTGGTTCAGCCAATTCTACACAACAACTAAAGGAACCAGACAGACAACTCGCACATGTGTGTGTGTATATATATATATATATAAAACAGAAATTTTGAAGGTACACATTTAACATACTTCTAAGAACATGAGTAAAAGGAAAAGAAAGTAAATTATGATATATCAACTACAATACATCTGTCATATCCACCGCTGATGAGGCCTTTCATTGACTATGAAAGCTTATCAGATCAGTAGGGATACAACATATGCAGTAGTGCCCTATGCACTATATATTAGAGCGAGGCAATTTAATTGATATAGACAATTACCTGTGGGCACTGTTTACATCATTTAGTGTCACATAAACTAACTGATCAATCAAAACTAGTTTTTGATTACTACTATTTTAGGGTTACTTCATCAACTGATTAACACATTCACTCCCAAGGTCATATTTGTAGAATTTCACTTTGGCCCAACTTCATATTTCGACTGAATAATAATTTTTTGCCAGACTTAGGGTTATTAGGTATAAATACATTGGTATATAATGCTTCCTATGTTTTTTGTTAATTTAAAAAAAATGAGTGACATGGGCCTCTAT